ACTAGCAATGGAGGTTCATTGTGTATGAGCGTGTTCCTGGCAATCGAGGGGTTAAATGTGATGATGGTGTACTGATGGGCAATCTGACGCTATCTGAGAGGGGCGTGAAAACCACGGGAGCGCGAATCACGTGTATATATATATATATGTGTGTGTGTGTGTGTGTGTGTGAGATTTTTGCGCACCTGTGCCTCCCAGTATTTATGCTATAGGGTGGTCACATAAGCGGTTTGTGTTATGGCACTGCGTCACTTTAACTGACAATTGCACGGTCATGCAACGCTGCACCAAAATTAAATTTACATCCTTTTTTCCCCATGAATTGGGCTTTCATTTGGTGGTATTTGATCGCCTGTGCGGTTTTAATTTTTTTGCGCTATAAAAAAAAAACAATTTTGAGAAAAAAAACTATTTTGAACTTTGCTATAAAACATGTCTAGTAAAAAAAATTTTAAAATCAAATTTCATCATAAATTTATGCCAAACTGTTCTGCAACATGTCTTTGCTAAAAACAAAATCCCAATACGTGTAAATTAATTGGTTTACGTGAAAGTTACAGCATTTACAAATGGCGGTATAGATACTGGATTTTGTTTTTTTTATATATACTAATCATAGCTGCGATCAGCAACTTATGGCATTAATCAGTGACTTATGGCGGGACTACAGGACTGCGGCGGACATTCTGACACGGGGGGTGCTGACTTGGGGTCACTGACATCCCCAGTGACACCAATACAGTGATCAGTGCAAAAAAAAAAGCACTGACACTGTACTAATGGCACTGGGGGAGGAAGGGTTAACATTTATAGGCAAACAAAGGGTTAACTGTGTGAGGGGAGTGTTTTACTAGGGAGCTGGGGGGGGGGGGGGGGGTGTGCTTCACAGGAACACACTGTCCCGGAAAACTGAACTCTGGAACAGTGTGATTGAAACTGAGAGGGAGCAGAGCTGCATTGAAAACAATACAGCTGTGCTCCATGTCAGTGTTTGCAGGCAATCACCTGGATCTGGCGGCTAATCACCGGCTAGTGCCACAGGCAGGGCAAATTGGGGAAGTGATCAGTATTTTTTTTTATTTATTTTTTTTACACAAAGTAGTACAATGTTTCTATGGTGAATCAATGTGACAAACTCCTGCGCTCCTACCTAAAAACTAATACATACCAACAAAGGTAAAGCTGCTACATACAGTCATATACCCATAGACAAAAAATATAAATGAAACACAATTGCAGCGCTACTACCATAAAAATTCTTCACACATAAATGAATAAGTGAAACAGTGCAACATTAGTGATACAAATAACAAACACACAATATTAAATAGTGCCAAAAAACTCATAAATAATCACGTGTGACAAGTGTCAATACAAGGTCCTAAAAGGACCAAATAACATAAATGGTGCCCCAAGTAATCCAATGAGATCCAATAGTGCTCCAAGTCAAACAAGTAAGTCACAACAGGACTCGATGTGCTAAAAAACCTCCCACTGGAACTAAAAATCAGTTCCCACCATATAACACAAAACACACATGCATCCCTTTAAACGCATAAACTAAGAACTGATCATGCAAACAAACATGAATAAATATATAAAGTCCCTGAGGTGTAAAACACCTGACAATATACAAAAAACCATATATAAAGTCCACAGCAATTCTTGAAGTAAAAAAAAAAAAGTGCTGATAAATGTGCAGAGATATCCAAAAATGGCTGAATTGCCCACTCACCTCCCTCTTGCGACCTGCACAGGGTCAAAAGGCCTTCAGGATCACTAACACATGGACCCTTAATAGTAGGTAATCCTCCACAGCCACAGCTCTCCACACTGACCTCCCCTCATGTACAGATTCAAGCACAGGCTCACAGGGCAGCAGATCTCCTCTTCAGGCACATAAGGTGGCTGCAGCCACTTGATCCCTCAGATCAGATGTACTTGCATGGGTGTCCAATGTAAATAAAGAAGGTGTCCGACCGGATGTGCGTCACCGCCAACGCGTATCGTCACGCTTAACACGTGACTTCATCAGGGCAACTGATGGTTGGAACTGATTTTTAGCTCTGGTGGGAGGTTTTTTAGCACATTGAGTCCTGTTGTGACTTACTTGTTTGATTTGGAGCACTATTGGATCCCATTGGATTACTTGGGGCACCATGTATGTTATTTGGTCCTTTTAGGACCTCGTATTGACACTTGTCACACGTGATTGTTTATGAGTTTTTTGGCACTATTTAATATTGTGTGTTTATATGTTATTTGTGTCACTAATTTTGCAAGGTTTCACTTATTCATTTATGTGTGAAGAATTTTTATGGTAGTAGCGCTGCATCATTTGTGTTTCATTAATGTTACTATGGTAACATTATACTACTTTGGTCATAGTGCAATATGAAAAAAAAATCTTAAAAAAAAGAAAAACCATGTAATAAAAAATTAAAACTAATAAAAAAAATAAAAAAAAATATTTTTTTTTTGTACTGTCACCAGTGTCCCTGATCATCACCATGCCAGTTATATGATGACGCTGTACTGCACTGGTGACAGTATATATATAAAAAAAAAAGTTAAAATAATTTTTTTAATTTTTTAATTTTCCGAAAAATGACAAAGAAATTACAACTTCAAAAAACTCGCCATGTCTCTTATGAAATACGTCGGACTGTCTACTTTGCAAAAAGTGGTCATTTGGGGGATATCTGTACTGTTATGACATTCTTGGACCTCAAGAAATTAGATTGGTCATCAATACTTCAGGATTGATCAATATTCAGATATATCCCATAGTTTGTGATCTCTATAACTTTCCTACAAACTAAATAATACATCCTAATTTGGGTTAGTTTCACCAAAGATATGTAGTAGAATACAACTTGGCCTAAATTTATGAAGAACAATTATTTATTTGCTAACTTTTTATAGCTGAAACAAAGAAAAACATGTTTGTTTCTTTTTTTCAAAAGTTTTGTTTTTTTTTGTTAATTTAGCAAAAAATAAAAACCGCAGTGTTGATTAAATACCACCAAAAGAAAACTCTATTTGTGTGAAGAAAATGATAACATTTTAGTTTGGGTGCAGTGTTGCATGACCGCGCAATTGTCATTCAACGTGTGAGAGCGCTGAAACCTGAAAATTGGCCTGGGCAGGAAGGGGGTAAAAGTGCCCTGTATGGAAGCGGTTAAATACATTCAAGGAATCAATTTTTTAAATACTTTTTACTGACTGTTGACAAAATATTCACTATATATTAAGCGTGACAGTTCGGTGCCAATAATGTGTTCCTTTTGTCGATTTATCTGCTAACAGAATGTGATATGAATTTTTGTATACTTAAGATGTTTTTTTTGTAATTGTAGAGTTTGCTGTGGGTTCTTTATGACGGAGGACACTTGGACAAGTAAGTATTTTCTTGTTAGTTTTTCTCTTTCTTTTTAATACATTAAACAATTTTCTTGAGATTTTTGCTTTAGATTTACTAAAACCATCTAATAGGAGGTCAAACCTAAACAAAACTTTCAGTTGTATCCAATTAGGCAGGCCTTTGCACTACATAGTTGAAGGTAAATCTAAAGGAAATTGGGCAGACATTGGACAGAAAATTGTATAGTGTATGGCCAGCCTTAGCCAAGTTTTAAGCCTCAAGAGTTATATGTTCAGGATTCCATCAGATGTTATGATATACTGTATATGTTTAGGATTCCATCAAATGAAACGGCTGCAGTAATTGCTGTGCCAGGGCTACTGATTAAATTGGAAGATGGAGAACCTGTAATCCTGACCTATTTTAGGTATTATATGCTGCAATGTAGGTGGATAAGGATAGTATGTTTTGCCTTTCATTTTGTTAATAATGCTGTTATACAGTGGATATCAAAAGTCTACGCACCCCTGTTAAAATGTCAGGTTTCTGTGATAAATGTAAAAAATTGAGACAGATAAATAATTTCAGAGCTTTTTCCACCTTTTAATGTAAATTATAAACTGTACAACTCAGTTGAACAACAAAACTGAAATCTTTTAGGTGGAGAGAAGTAAAACTAAAAAATAAAAATAATATGGTTGCATAAGTATGCACGCCCTTAACCACTTCAAGTCCGGACACTTTTACCCCCCTTCCTGATCAGGCCAATTTTCAGCTTTCAGTGCTATCACACTTTGAATGACAATTGCATGGTCATGCAACACTGTGCATGCAACACTACGTATATGAATTTTTTAGCATTTTTTTGAGACAGATAAAGCTTTGTTTTGGTGGGTATTTATTCACCACTGGGATTTTTATTTTTTTTTTGCTATGTAAATGAAAAAGTCCAAAAATGTTGCGTGTTTCTTATAAAATGTTGCAAATAAATATTTCATCATAAATCTTGGCCAAAATTTATTCCGTTATCTTTTTAGTAAAAAAAAAAAAAAATAACCCAAATTAGTTTATAACCAAAAATAATAATTTTTAAACTTTTTTTTTTATATTTTTATTTTTTTTTATATATTATTTTTTTTTCTTTTTTACATACTGTCACCCTAGCAGTACAGTGTCACCATGGTGACAGTGTACTACTTCTGGGGGGTGATGAAGAATTATTTTTTTTTTTTTTTACACTGATTGCTTTTACACCCATAAAGGCTGCAAAAGCAATCATTTCTCCTTCTCTCTGGCTGCATTCTTGCAGCCTTTGAGAAATACTGTGTGAGCTGAGATTGGTCACAGCTTGTCACATAGTACAAGGCTGTTGTGAATAGCCTTGTACCATGTGACCTCTGTGATCATTCACAGATTTCACACGCAGTAAGCAATGATGTCAGAAGTGACATCTTGCTTACTACTCTGCATGTGATCACCGATTGGCCAATCAGTGATCACATGATCGGGACCTCGCACAGAGGTTCCGTACAACGATCGGTGTTCCACTGTGTCCGAAGGACACAGCGGGCACCGGATTGCTGTGCTGCCCGCTCCCAGGGAGCGCGCACAAGCAGGGAGCGGAGAGGCCGTTTATAAATGGCCACCCGACCCTGCACTGCCACCGTCCGGCCGTTTATATACAACGGCCGGATGGGAGGTGGTTAAACTAATACTTTGTTGAAGCACCTTTTGATTTTATTACAGCACTCAGTATTTTTGGGTATGAGTCTATCAGCATGGCACATCTTGACTTGGCAAGATTTGCCCACTCTTCCTTTCAAAAACACTCCAAATCTGTCAGATTGCGAGGGCATTGTGCACACCCCTCTTCAGATCCCCCCACAGCTTTTTGGTCAGATTCAGGTCTGAACGCTGGCTGGGCCATTCCAAAACTTTAATCTTCTGGTGAAGCCATTCCTTTGTTGATTTGGATGTATGCTTTGGATAGTTGTCATGCTGAAAGATGAAGTTCCTCTTCATGTTCAGTTTTCTAGCAGAAGCCTGAAAGTTTTGTGCCAATATTGACTGGTATTTGGAACTGTTCATAATTCCCTCTACCTTGACTAAAGCCCAAGTTCCAGCTGAAGAAAAACAGCCCCAAAGCATGGTTGCTGCCACCACCATGCTTCACTGTGGGTATGGTGTTCTTTTGGTGATGTGCAGTGTTGTTTTTGAGCCAAATATATCTTATGGAATTATGGCCAAAAAGTTCAACCTTGGTTTTATCAGACCATATTACATTTTTCCACATGCTTTTGGGAGACTTCAGATGTGTTTTTGCAAAATTTAGCTGGACTTCGAAGTTTTTCTTCATAAGAAAAGGCTTCAGTCTTGCTACTCTACCCCATAGCCCACATATGAAGAATATGGGAGATTGTTGTCACATGTACCACACAGCCAGTACTTGCCAGATATTCCTCCAGCTCCTTTAATGTTACTGTAGGCCTCTTGGCAGCCTCCCAGACCAGTTTTCTTCTTGTCTTTTCATCAACTTTGGAGAGACGTCCAGTTCTTGGTAATGTCACTGTTGCCCCCATATTTTCTCCACTTGATGGTGACTATCTTCACTGTGTTTCATGGTATATCTAATGCCTTGGAAATTCTTTTGTACCCTTCTCCTGACTGATACCTTTTAACAGTGAGATCCCTCTGATGCTTTAGAAGCTCTCTGTGGACCATGGATTTTGCTGTAGGATGCGACTAAGAAAATGTCAGGAAAGACCTACTAGAGCAGCTGAACTTTATTTGGGGTTAATCAGAGGCACTTTAATTGATGGCAGGTGTGACTCCTATTTAACATGATTTTGAATGTGATTGCTTCATTTTGAAAACAGCTACATCCCCAAGTATCAGAAGGTGTGTGCAACCACATTATTTTTTAGTTTTTTATATTTACTCCCCCCCCCCAAAAAGATTTCAGTTTGTTTTTTAATTGGGTTGTACAGTTTATAGGTCACTTTAAAGGCAGAAAAAGGTCTGATAAATCATTTTTTGTCTCATTTGTTTACATCACAGAAACCTGACATTTTAACAGGGATGTGTAGACTTTTTATATCCACTGTAGTAGTTTGTAAGGGTGATGATAAACCTTACCTGTTTTAATTCAGTCATGTGAGCAAGTTACTACACTCCATTGAAATTTGTGGATTTTCTCAAAATTCTTGAACAAACAAAAAATTAGTTCTTTATGCAAACAGTGCCTACAGGTAAAGATGATATACTTAAAAGATAACTCCATTTTCATGGGGAAACAAATGCAAATAATATAGCATATACAGTAGTTACACAAGCTACGTTATAATTGAATGTTTTTAAAAATCCCCAATCCCTTTCAATCTGCAACCACTGTAATTTTCTATAGAATTCAATGCACTATGATAACCTGAAGGCTTTCTGTACACAGTTGGTGTACAGAACTTTCTCAGAAATGTCATTTCCTGCTTGTATGATAGTTTCACTAATTTTCTCAGAAGTTTGCACTAAAATACAAGCCAGAATTAAGGCATCCTCTGCATGAAAAAAAATTATTTTTGGTAAGCTGCTCCAAAAGGGTTAATCACTTCTAGAAGGGTTCAGACTTTTCCTTACTAGATCACAGTAACTGCATCAGCTGATTGATAATGAAAAAGTCACTTCCATTCAGATTTACTATGCACAACCACAGCAGAAACAGATAGGAATCTGCAACAAAGTTTGTTGCAATGTACAGTGATCATCCAGAGGGGATTGTTTTTTTTTCTCAACAAAAATGGAGTTACTCTTTAACCACTTAGGAGAGTCAAACTGCTGCGCTGCCTTGTGGTTTCTATAGAGTGTAGAAAGTGCTCCTTGTGTGGAGTGCGCCAATGCACCTCCCTATACAAAAATTCTTATGTGTTCCTCTTTCCATACATAAATAAGAAAGGAATGGGTGTGATACAAGAAGTGCCATCATCCCTAGAGAATACAGTGGGGAAGCCCTCTTGTTGGTGGGACTTTTGAGGCACACATTAGACAAAAAATGTTTTTCTATCAAATGACAATTTAAAAGAGAACCGTATTTTATTTATATAATCTTATACGAGACTTATAGTTACAAATACGGTGGTATCACGTGATTATACAATGAATAGGCAGATATGAGGCATGAATATATTTGCATTTGACGCATTTCGAGACCAATCATAAATCTCTTCTTCAGAAGTGCTCAGAAAACATGATGCCTATAATAAGCATATCAATATATATCTCAGATCTTACATGGATACAACAGACTGAAAGGTTGTCGCTAGCCCCTGGCTATCTGTCTTGATCAGTCTGTTTTGAAGGTATGGACGTCCAGAAGACTAACTTCACCTAAGTAATAGAAGAAAGGTGGGGGGCACAGAGTATCTGGGAAAAACTTAATTCTCAGTAATTGATTGGCTGAATACAAATACAAGCATTTACGTCAATCCTGAATAATGATGAGAAGCAAAATTTAACTTTCCCAGGAATAAGGAATGTGTCTATAATATTACAAAAAACTTATCTGCTACATACAATAGAATCTGGCTAGATACTTGTCAAGGCTGTGAACATGATCTTTCTCAGGCATTGTAATTAGTTATAAGTAACAAACAATTATTTTCTCATGGGACAGAAATATTTGACATTTAATTGTATCATAACAGAAACAGGTGCTTGTTAATACAAAGAAATAGTTGGATACTATCACCGTCTCTACCAAGGCTAAGCTAAGATAAAAGATAGAAGAATATTGTGAGTACAGTTCTGTAACACATAACTGACATAGCATATTTTCATTAACTCATTCTGGTTATAATACAAAACAATTAATCAACATGGAATATAAAATGGAGTGGGGAAAAACAAAATGACAGACCTAAAAGACATACATTTCCCTTCAATCCCCTCTTATAATCATTATTTACATATATGATTTTAACCCCTTGACGCCGACGTAACACAAATATACGGCCTCACGGACCTGGGCTTTTTTCCGTGGGGCCGCATATTTGCGTACCTGTCTTTGTGCTGGGAGCGCGCCGCTCGGCGCGCTCCCAGCACCAAGACCGCAGTGTCACTGAGAGCCCCGGGTCCCGTTCTAACGATCGGGACCCGGGACTCCCGATTCCGGGTCACGTGATCGCTGTGATAGCCTCTGATTGGCTATCACAGTGATCAATCACTGTGCAGCCCGGCCCCCTTGTTTTCTCTCTCTCTATGAATGGAGAAGAGAGATACATTGTATCTCTCGAACTCCTGACATAGATAAAAAAAAAAAAGTTTGTAAAAAAAAAAAAAAAAAAAAGATAAATATTAAAAAATAAAAGAAAAAATAAAGAATAATACCTAGATCAAGGTTTGATCTAGTTCAGTACCAGGGTTAGTGTTTGGGTCAGGGTCAAAGGTCAGGGTCAAAGTCAGGATTTTAAAAAAAAAATTGGTATCAGTGTCAGTTAGTGTTAATGTCAATGTCAGTGACAGTGTGTTTTATGTAAAAAAAAAAAAAAGACAAAAACAAAATGCGCACTGTTGTTTCTGGACTGTACTACGGGTACAAACAACAAATAACATACACATATATGGTATCGCTGCGATCGTCAAGAACTGGAGAATGTATTTTGGGTTGTTCTTTGGTGGTAGGTTATGGTCGTAACAAGAAACACACAGTTAAATTAAAAAAATATATTTTTTTTACTATTTTGGCCCAGTTTTCCTTTAATAATAAAAAAAAAATTAGGAGCTATCCATTACCATTTACCACCAAATGAAAGCCCAATTTGTACATCCAGGTGGATTATAAGGTTGTTTTTTTCATGGACAAAGTAGTTGTGACGATATGTACGGTTTTACTAACACGTCAACGTTGCAGAATTGTGCTTAGGCATTTAGATTTGTTTTACCCTTAGGTGTGAAGGGGTTAATTTCCCCTTATACAACATAGTTCTTTTTCTGCTTCTCTCTGTATTTGGCTAGATAACTATTGTACTCTTTGGGTTTTGGGTTCAGTGGGGAAGTTTGTTCTTGGATTTCTTCCTCGTACATAGCCATATCTATACCTTTGTTCATAAGCTTCTTTATACAGGGAATCACACAGCACACTATCATGGCTATAAGTATCAGGGTGACTACAATAATCACTCCTATTTGTGCTAGCATCTGCTTCCATCCCTTGAGCCATCCAAAATATTGATCCCTGAATTCCTGAATTTTTTCAACTTTTCCGACAGATCAGACCGTTTTTTTTTATAGCCATAGTGACCTTGCCATTTGGCCCAGTGTTGTCTGGGATGTAGGTACAACAAGTACCTGTTCCTTTTATTATTACACACACACCACCCTTTTCTGCAAGCATCATATCTAAGACCATACGATTGAAAGGTCATGGTGGAATCCGCCTGCAACTGCTCCGCTATCCCCTTCAATGCATCCCTGGTGTAGTTGACAAACCTCTGTTGATTGTAATATATATAATTTATCCAATCAACATTCTTGTTGACGGTGATGATTGGAATGATTGACTCAAAACCTGCTTTGACCTGGTCCCTGGCCTTAAACTCATCTGGGACCCCTCTTGGAATCCCTATGGCGTCTATATACACATGTGGGTCAAAACTACCCATCGGGGCCTCCCT